GGTATCTGCTCCAAGCGTTAAGTAAGATCGCATGATCAATTTGAAAGACGCAGTTTAGACCTATGGCTCCTTTTTAGATAGGGAAAGGAAGCCCCAAATCAAATAAAAAAAATTAAAGAGGCCATAGCCAATTAAAATTAGAAGTTTGCTTTCATATTTTATCTTACATACATAAAGAAAGAAATTTAGAACCAACTTTTCACAATGACCAAGAATTGAAATTCAAATGAACTTCAAAAACAATTTATAAATGTGGAATAAGAATTATTTTAAAATGTAAAAATTAAAATAAATATCATCACAAGAAAAACCAAAATAGAAAATAAAAGAATAAGAAAGAAGAGGAATTCAGTCAACTTCGACATAACATCATCAGGAGGAGGTATGTCGAATTTAATTACAATTCCCATTCCATAACAAAATCCTTGTTTTTCTGTATCCAGAATTAGCTGATGAACCATTTCAATAAAATGTTTTAATCTTATATATATATAACATTTTATTATAGTATTTTAGATGCGTAGTTAGAGAGATAGATGCACCAGTAACTTTCTTCTTTCTAAACACAACTTTATTCCATGATTATTCGCATCAGCTAATTTTTGGTAGACAAGGCATTTATCCAATCATAGTTAAATACAATAATTTTTAGGCATACTTCGAAAAAAAATTGGGGCAGTTCTACATCTCCTGTTCTACTGAGCCGATTGACAAAATTCAAATTGCGTTTTTCATGTCTCGAAAGCGCGACTCAGGATATACATTAGTTTTATATACAGCATTGTTTTAACACAGGTATTTTGACACAAAAATCAGACTTTTTCTGAAATAGCATACCAATTTTTCTGTTACCAATATTTCAATTGTACGACTCAAATTATACCTGCATATTAAATTTTGTAAAATTTGGTGCAAAATTTACGGAGAAATTCAAAAATTTATCTTGCCACAATTTTTTCAGTTTGCGCCAAGAATAATTCACTTAGCGAACTTCTTAATATGTGACAACCAGTTTTCTTTTCCCTTCCATTATGCCGGAGCGGAAAAAAGGGCACCTCGTTTCCACCTTTTTACGTTATGCATGAGCGGAAAAAAAGTTACATCGTTTCTACTTCCAAATAATTTTAGAAAAGTGTCTAAACCACATTTGATGTTTTATCGCTTTCAACAAATATATGCCAATATATAAACGCACCAATATACAAATAAATGGATATCTTCGGAAATTTTGAATAAAAAAATGTAATGTTTTGCAGATATGCTTAGAAATACGTGTATTTTAAGATGATGGTAAAAATTTTATAGATTATAATTCAAAAAATTTTTTAAAAAAATTACAAAAAAAGATTATTTAATACAAATTTTATAAATAAATCATAAAAAAATGGATGAATTTTATTTGGAATGAACCTAAATTTCCAAATGAATCAAATAAGTTTAATAAAAAAGAGAAATTAATAAATATATACCAAAACTAACGTTGAGGAGCTAAAATTTTGAGAGCTAATTTTTTAAAAACTACTCGTTGGATTTTTAGAAAACTTGATAGTTTGGCGTAATTTGAGTCGTATAATCGAAACATGAAAAAACATTGGTATATTATTTCAAAAAAAGTCCGATTTTGTGTCAAAATACCTATATTAGAAGAATGGGTACTTTTCCGTTTCGCCGGCGCAAATCTCGCCAAGATGACTTTGTTGGCGACAACATATACAGTATACACATAAAAAATGTTGGTTCTAAGAATTTGTTATTTTGAAGGCATAAACATTTTAATATGGTTAAATATATATAAAATATTTTAAATAATAATTTTTTTATTTAAATTTTTTTTTAATATTTAAAAAGTTTAAATATTTAATGTTTAAGTTTTTAATATTTAAAAATTTTGTAAAAAACCAATAAATAAAGACAATAAATTTGTAAAAGCACATTAATTTAAGAATTTACTATGCTATGGTTCAACATCCTGATTCGCCGGTTCGTATCACGTGACCTCAAGTGATCTCATCTCACGTAAACTACGCTACAAAAGTATAATTCTCTCAGTAATTATCTACATGAATTTCACGTTAAATCTTAATTCGGAATACAAGTTTAAATGCACGAATTATTTCAATTCATACGAATAGCTTACTCCGAAATTATGTAAAACCGCAGTGCTTTACTTCGCTAGTGCATTTTCATTAAAATGGATGAATTTAACCCTTGTATTTGCCTTTTCTATATTTTCGCCTTCGGGTGAGCGGTGTGATTGCACCCTAATTGACGTAATTACTGCGAATGGTCTTAGGGCATAGAATTTAATTATCTTTGTAAATATTCTACGTAATTGTATGCCAGTATTTAAAGAAACAATCAATCTGGTAAGAAATGGCTGCGACTTGTTTTGAAAATGAGGCGTAAAAGGTTATCAGCAAAGATATTCCGTTTGGCATCAGTTGTAACACTATTGGCGACTTTATCGTTTGCGCCGGCAAAACAGAAAAGTACCGAAAAATGCTATATATAAATCTAATACATATCCTTCATCGAGCTTTCGAGACATGAAAAACGCAAGTTGAATTTCGTCAATCGGCCCAGTAGAACAAAAGAACTGTCTTTTTTTTTTTTTTTTTTTTTTTTTTTTTTTTGCACAGTGACATTGGTTTTTAAAAGTATGACGTAGGCAACTTAGAAAAGAAGAGCAGCACAAAGTTTTCAGCATGGTGAAAGCTAGGAAAATGAATGACGTAGCTACTTTGTAAAGAGTATTTATACCGAGTAGATGCATAAGTTTATCAAAGCTGCTATTGGTTAATTTTAAGTTGTTATGTAACATGGAAAGATTTCGAATTTGGGAGAACAGATGAATTTAGGGTAGAGAACATAAAATCTAGAATAGTTAATTTTGAGGTCGCCAATCGTTTCTTAAAGCAGCCATCGCATTTTGTTATATCTTACATATATACGCGCAAACACACACTCTTTATCCGCCTTAAAAGTCCCTACTCGGCCTTTATTTTCCCAATCGCTGGTCGTAGTCAATTTAATTTCAGATTTTGCAGTTCTTGATGTCCTTTTCAACTTGTCTTGAGGGATCGGTAGTTAAGCTAAAACAGTTCGAGGAAATAAGTTTAAATGATGCATAATTTAGTAGGCCGTACATGGAAGTCATGCGGTGTTCACATCAGATTTTTTTGGAAACAAAAGCACTTTGAGAAACTTCAAATCACCAACATTTCAGCATTCAGATAAAAATCTGTCTGAAATAGCCTAAGCGTTATAAAAAAATTCAATATTCCAACCGCATACACTCAGTGAAACGCGAGTGACTTCGCCATCCACGGTAGATATACAAACTCAAGTGAATGCGTGATTACTTTTTTTCCCAGTTTCACTCAAAAGCAAACTATATTTATTCAGGATACCTTCTTCGAACTCAGCTCAAACGTACAGTGTGTATTGGTCAGAAACTGCGATACAAATAACGGCTAATTGCAATAAAGTTCAGCTTCTAAGCTTCGAAATTATTTGCTTAAATTTTTGTCATGATAACCTATTTAGCTATCTGTTATATTCTGCTTTTAAATTCGGATAATTTCAAAACACCTGCACCACTGTAATTGATTGAGATAATAATTTAAAATTACCTATTCCATTTCCACCAAAATCTCATGTTTCATGGGATAATATTTTTTTTATATTATGATGTAGAAGGTGAGCATTTTAAATGATAATAGAATATTAAGTTGAATTTTTTCTTATATTATACTTTTAGAATTTTCATTAATCTCGTAAAATTTTTCTTTCATAAAGTTTAAAGCATTGTATTAATTAAGCATTATTTTTAATTACGAATTTTAAATATTTAAATGCAACTTTTATGATTACATTACTTTAAAAAAACCAGATTGGTATTGATCAGGCTATGGTATTTATTTTTCCTCGTTTTAAATAATGTGTTGTGTTACTAGAAAATATTCTGTCTTTCTAGGAAATTATTGATACACCATATTATTAGGAATATTATTTTTTAAAACATTATCTTGTTTATCAGCACGAACATAACGGTATTTACTCCTAAAATAAATAACTTCATTTAAGGTATTTATGCAAATGTGAATAAACTGTAATATCATGGTACAATATATCATGATATATTATTATAATATTAATAGAAAATTAGAAACATTTTCAATTGAAACCGGAGAGAATAGCTGAATTTGCGGATAGGCATTTTTAATGGAAATATATCAATTAAAAATCATTAAAATTTCCAATACTCTGTTACATCTTACAGTATTGTATAATTTACAAAAGCCTATAGAAACTAACCAAAGCGAAATTAAAAACCAGATGTAATAACATTTTCGTAGCTTAAACTGTATGGCCAGTGATTTAATACCAGTCATTTGTTATTTTAATATCATGTTTTGCCTACATATTATCACGAAACACTCGTTGTATACAGCTTTTCTACCATTATAATAATCTACCGATCATTTAATTTTAAAATAAACGTACACCACTATTGCTGTGAACAAACAACATGTACATGCAAAATGAGATCAAGATAAAACTTCGAAAATACAGATACTTCAAGCGACTTTCACTTCACATCTACTTGCGTAAGAATACTGCTACATGTTCGCGATTTTAAATATTTATTTTAAATTTTTAAACATCGCAGTTTCTTATCACTCAAACAAATAAAAAAAGAAAGAAAGAAAACGTCATGTGCTTTATAGTGGTGTTAAAAGCTACGTTTAACGTTTTGAGTACTTTTCCAGACGATTTGTAAATTATCACGCCAGCAAATAAAAAAGAAAAGAAAATTCTACCAACCATCTAATATACCTGATCTTTCAAGAACGAAAATTTAGTAAACAAGTTTCATTCCAATAAGACGGAGTTAACAAATTAATCAAAATATGGAGAACAGGATTAAGAGGGGAAATTTAACGGGGAAAAAATCGAGGTCAAAAGAAAGTTTAGGGGAAATGTACACGTCATCTTACCTCTGCGCTGTTGATACTGTTGGATGAATACTCTTCATATTCGGAGTCAGAGTCACTACACTGTGTACTTGATATTTCGAATGGTTCCCACATAATTTTGTGGTCATCGTACTATTTATTCCTTTTTCCCTTTCCTTTTCTAATTCCTCTTGTTCTTTCATCGGTAAAGCTGAGTACACATTACGGTTGACCGATTCTTAGACAGTTGTGCGCCATCTGGTGGTCAGGTGGCTTATAGACTTAAGAAAAACGAGGTCTCAGCTCTTAACTTTTTAAGACAAGGTTACAATATTTTATTTTACAAAGTTTCATACTTTAACGAGAATCAAAAGTAAAGTAATGGCGGCTAAATATTCATACAAATTCAAATTTTTTGATAGCTAGAAAAAACGTTAATAGTTTTAGTTTGCGAAAAGCCCTATCCGTCGTAAACAGATATTATTGCTTGTCGAGGATTCATAATCTTTCACTTCACTGTTCTTGTGAGAGTGCGTTGCTCTATACATGTAAATTAATTATTTAAGAAATTTTTAACAACATTTTGCAGCAAGTTTTATTTTATACCATGAATTATGGTATTTATATCAAGCAAGTTTTCTAAAACTCTGTAAGAAGTTGATTGAAAAATTTCTATTTTTACTTCTTGTGTGCGTTATCCTTATACCCAAAGCCGGCGCTAGGCTTTTCGCCTTTCGCTCAAATTATTCTAAATTACCAGGCACACCAGCGGCCGAGCGGTAAAGTCGCTGAGCACTGGTAGTTCTATCCGAGATTATTTCCGCTGAGCATTGATAGCTGCATGGGTGTTTTCGTGGTTTCCCCGTGTGTATACGAGCCAGTTTCCATTAAAAAGGTCCTCTACGAAGGCATCGCTCCCCTTAGGCAGATAACCCTCGAGGCTTTGCCGTAATCGTATAAATCAAACCAACTTAAAGCCCAGTTGCTTCGTAAAATCTAAAAGGTTTTCCTCCCCTAAATTCTGCTGCCGATGCTATCGCATTGATCGCACCGGTTTTATCTGTACCATCCACTCCCAAGAAAAAAGTTAGATGGTTACGATGAAATTTCGCAACAAAATATGAATTGCAAGCATTTCTATATATTTAAATTTTTAATTTTTATTTTGTTCAGGCCATAATACCCTTTTTTAATGTTTGGTATTTGTCAGTTTTTGAGAAAAATAACAGGAACAAACGTCGAAGTTTCTAAAGTTCTCTGTAAATCGAACTGGGTAACAAATGAGTATTAGTTGGCAGTAACCAAATATTATTTTTATTTGAAAAGAACAGACAAATATTCGTATAACTTTTGTTAAGTTATAATTATATATATATATATATAATTTTTTTCAATTTTAATAGTAAACTGTTATTCTGCTGCCGTTTTTCAAGTGAATACCTCTCTAATGTTAATAATCAACGTGCATTTAAAGTAAATCAAAAATCAAGGTAAACCTGAAGTAATTTTTATCAGCTGGTGTTTAGGCAAAATTCAACTTAAAACTAATGTTAATTTTTCAGTATTAGGCAGATATTATTTATTTTTGTAATTTTAAATTTGATACTGGCAACACTTTTTGCCTCCTGCTAGCTTATATATGTAGATAAGCTCCTGCTAACTTATATATGTAGATAAGGAAGCCAATGTTTTCGGTCCAAAAACTCGACGTGAATTTTAAGTGAATATGCAAAACTGGGGTTCCCACAACATTTTACTTTTCTATTTTTAGACAGATGTCTGTCTGTTTGTGTGTATGTGGGTGACGATGATTTTTGTTCACGACATAAAACTTCCATAATTTTCCATTACGTATTTAAGTTTTCTACATTAATGAAAAGAGATTTTCGGTAAAATTGGGCAACCAGAAGTGGTATTTTACTTCAAGCCCTTAAAAGCCCGTTTACATTAGCGGAATTGATCCCAGGAAACAAACACTCATGAATTGACAGCTCCGCTAAAAGAAAAAAAAAAAAGGCACTTGCTATTTTTACCTTTCACCAATTTATATATACATAGGAAATGGAGGTAATTAAACTCTGTACATTCATATAACGAGGTGACTAGATTTTGGGTAAAAGTGAACAACCGAAGGGGGTACTTTGCAGAGGACCCATAACAGCCTTTAATGGACAACTGCATGGCGGTTTATTTAAAGCCTATAACAGTTTTTAACGGAAAAGTATATTAAAATATAATCTATAGCTTTTCATTTTTAGTAATTAAAACTTTTATATCAATGGGAAAAGTATGATTGATTACATTTATAAGCATTGGATATAAGCACTATATTTGAACTCGTGTTAAATGCCATGAGAATAAGCTCATTATGAAGCTCTCGCTATGAAGCAATAAAATACAGGGTGAGTCTGACCAAGTGGGCAAAACTTTAGAAGGTGATAGAAGGCAGCTATCGGAGCAATATTCGTCATAGAATGTATGCTCGGAAAACAAACCGCGAGCCGCTAGGTGGCATTGTAAATAAATGGTATAAAAAACGTCGGTCCTCGTACTTTCTACTGTGGATTGCCGAGATGATTGCTGATTATGCGAACCACAAAATTTCCAGGGCGATGGATTGGTCGAGGTGGTCCCATAGCTTGGTCACCAAAATCACCGGATCTCTCGTGTTTGGACTTTTCCTGTGGGGCCATATAAAAAGGCCTAATCTACGAGTGCCCCATTGAAACCAATATGGATCTAGTCGTCAGGATCGCCGTTGTTATCGGCGACATTCGACAAATGCCTGATGTCTTCGCAAATGTGCGTCAGTCCTTATCCCGCAGGTGTGAAGCTTGCATTACAGCTGGCGGAAGGTCTTTTGAGCAATTTCCAGTTCTGTTAAGAAAATGTTTTCTAAAGTATCTTCTCTCATACCTGTGTTAATTCTTTAACTGTGACAGGGAAAAACTACCCTTTAACCTCTCACCCTTTGCGTTTTGACCAAACATTCTATCAGGAATATTGCTTGTATAGCTAGCTGCCTTCTATCAGACCCCTAAAGTTTTGCCCACTTGTTCAGATTCACAATGTATATTAGCTTCAATTCTCACTTTTGCGTTCATTTCACTTTTGCACCAAATTTTATTGCTGTCTATCATTTTTAAAAAAAATAATGTAGCAAATCCAAACAACACCTGAGAATTTCGGAAGTGTTTTTTAAAAAACTTTTTTTGTAAAACATATATAAATATTTTAAAAGCATAATAAATAAACAAACATGGTGTTATTTTTATTTATACATGCAGTCTAGCCCTGGTGATTACCACTTAGGCCTGGGTCTAAGGACTCCAGAAATCATCTTATGATTTGCCCAGACGGTATAGTGGTTAGGGAAGCCCGGCTGCGATAGCGAAGGGCCCGGTGTCAGCGTTTCTTTAAAAATAATAGACAGCAATAACATTTGGGTGGCAGCATACTTTTCTTTGAAAAGGTATTCGACGCAAAAGTGTAACGAACACCGCAAACAGCAAATATCAATAGTACAGGGAATATAGAAATAAATGTATGGTAACGCTCTATCGAAAATTCTGAAGATATAGAAACTTTGAAATTTTTTTGATTGTTAAATTATAGATTTATGATTCCTAAACCCTATATGACCAGAGGATATACTGCGATCGATGCGATATTTTCAAAGCAATGCATGAGAACTGAGGCGTACATGAGCATGTATAGTTATCATTGTCCATTGTATGGAAGAAGAAACTAATACAAATGAATACAAATTTTAATTAAAATTAAGTCATGAAGTCTATAAACAAATTAAATTTTATTTACAACGATCAACCGGAAGTGCTAGTTTACTTAAAACTCGTTGCTAACTCCGTAAATTCCATATCTTTGCCGGCTGGCCACATCAGATTTTTTTCCATATAATCAAGATGGATGTTTAAATCGTTTTCTTTTGACTCAATACCAACGAGCACAGCTTTATCTAGCTGGACACAACTGATTGTATTAATTAAATATTATTCAGTGATGAAAAAAGTTAAAGGCAGCTAAAGGTTTTAGATAGTCGACATAAAAGGTATTCCCAGTTAAAGAAAGAATCTTATTACCACTGATTTATTTATATTTGAATTCTTAATATATTTTAGTTCATTCAAACAATTAACTGGTTATGCATAAGTATGCACAAAAATATTTAAATTAATATCAGGAATATCAAATTATGCATTTCTACACAAAAGTAATTTCTGATACTTTACCAAGAATTCAAAGCTTAAATAGGCCTTGCGCCTCTAATTAACTATCAGGTGAATGCTTTAATTTTTATGAAATCGTCCATCAGGAAAAATTGATCCTGAGGAACCTTCATCTTTATTACACGGTGTTATATAACGCGGTTTCTCTGTTTCTTTTAAGTCAAATTTAATAGTTAATTTTTAAACTCTATCAAATTGATTTACCTGAAAATTTTTACACATACATATCTGTGATTATGGTACAATATTCTACAGAAATTTTTCCAAAATTCTGTTTAGTTTTTTTTTTTTTTTTTTTTTTTCCTTTTTTCTTTATTTTAGTTTGGTGTTGACGGGCAAATTAATCATCGCAGAATTTTAATCTTTGCAACAGCAGATAGAGCCACAAATAATCGTCCAAATGGAATGCTTTTTGTAATTTCTAACGTAATATGCCAAAATTTTTATGTTTTTTCAAATTTTGTTTCATACTTTCTGCTATCATGCAGTACAGTAGTTAATGTGATGAGTTTTCATAAGGAAAGAATTTAATATTTTATTGTTTCCAGCACCATAATTTTAAATGGTAAAAAAATTATATTTCTAAAGCAAACAAAATTGTAAATGAATTGAATACAATTACAGTATATAAAATTCAAAAGAGTAAATGCATTAAGGAGAAAAAATAATTTTAGCTGCCATAACATTCTTCGTCTTACGTGATTAAAAATAAAGTCGTGAGTCTTCCTATACTAGATTTGTATTAGGATATTAAGATAATTCCAAAGACCAATCGAAGTGGAAGAAATGACAAACAGGAGAAGATTCCCTTCAATTTGCTTAAATTTTTTTGACAAATTTGGTTTTAAAATAGAACTTGTTTGCAGCCCACTATTATATGTCTACTCACAAGAATATTACGAT